CACTCACCTCAGCCTCCCAAAGGCGCGGGATCACAGGCTGAGCCACCGAGCCCGGCTTCATGTGTTTTTCAACTGGATATTTCGTGGGGGGGGGATGGACAAAACCCTTTCTTCTTGGTACAGAGACCCTCCCCCACTCCCACCCCACCTGAGTACTCACGAGTTGGCGTGGATGAAATCCAGATGCAGCCCAGCCCTCTGCAGCGCAGCATACCTGTCGCCCATGCCCTTGAACGCGGCCGGCGCGACCCCAGGGGACACAGACGACCGGTGGGAGCTGTCCGTCCACGCCCACGCCCACGCCCACGCCCACGCCCACGCGCGCCCCCGTGATCCGAGCCCAGACTCGACGAACGCGCGCTCCCCCTGGCGGCCGGACCGCGAAGCTCGTTCTGCGCCGTCGACCCCCTGGTCCTGCGCGGTTCGTCTCGGTTGTTCCATCTGGGATCCGCAGCTGGAGAAGGGTGCGTCTGAGACAAGCTCTTCCGGAAATGAGGCTTCTGTAACCTTCTTAGTCGGTGGTTTCTCTCTGTGTTCCTCGCAGTCAGTCACCAGCGGGAAAATGGAGCCCTAGGCTGGGATTTGATCAGAAATGATTACTTGCACACACACACACACACACACACACACACACACACACACACACACACGAAGGTGGAGAATCTGGGTGGTGTGTGGGGGAGGGTAGGAAGGAAAGGCGTACCTTCCTTTTGCTGGTGCATGTTTCTTACAGAGACCAGAGGTAAGGGTGCTTTGTGTTGTGCCCCAAACGCTTACCTTCCTGTGTCTCTTGAGTTTATCATGGTTTTCCATTTGGAGGAAAAATAAGTAAATAAAAGAGATAAGGCAGAGAGAGAGAGTGAACGGAAATACCAAAGACAATCAGAACAGAATTTGAACTTTGCTGTAATGAGGAGGCTTGTCCCCAGATGAGAACAGCTGTCCCCTCCTGGATGGGTCACTAACTTTTTTAACCTGTCAGCTGACATTCAACTATTTCAAGTGCTGAACTGCTCGAGGACTAGACATGCTATATAGTTCCAAAAGATAGATCTAGGCAGGTGGAAGATGTATGTGTGTGGAAGGGGGGCATGAGTATCAGACTGTGTAGACCAGCTGTCTAAAGGCAAACACATAGCACTGAGATCTGAGACAGCAAAACACAAGCTAATATAGGATTTGTCAAGGAGTGTCTGTGGAAAGGTCCCAGTTGGAATTAATTAACCTAGTTGACCTCTTAGAAGTGTCAAACTCTGAATCAATGTCTATGGCTTTTGACTTGGAAACTAAAGTAGTTCAATATGCAGCAGAGATTTTGCACAATAGCCATAAAGTTAGAAACAAACCTCTATTGAATAAAGAACTAGACATGTTCATAATTTCCAGGCATCATACAGGCAGTGAAGCTCTCAGAAAAGAAAAAAATTATTAGTTTTGGCGTAGTCATTCTACCCCCAAAGAGAGGAGTTTATCACCTACTACATTTATAGGAATCAGGAGAGGAAGAGAGAATTTGAATAGCGACCCAGAGGAACATGATGCTCTAATTTGAAGACTGGAAGAAAACATGAGCACATGAAATAATCTTCCTGATTGCATTTTTGTTTTTACAGTGGCTGATGTGGTGGTGTTTTGATAGCAGGATTCTCTTTACTAAGCAACTTGAGCTCTCTTTCCAATTTTTCCTTCTATAGAACTTCACAAATATGATATTTTATTTTCATTTTGTGAGCCCAAGAAAAGCTTGACAAATCTCTTCTGGATTTATTTTACTACCCAATTTCCAGCTGCTATCTCAAAGCAATTTACTATCAGAAGGGCATCAGAGCCACTAGCCTATAATTAGTAAGGCAGTAATATCTCACTTTTGCCAGAGGGAAGGGTGTGATTATTACAAAAGCACTCCTAATAATCTGAGAGACTTCCTATAGTAAGGGGCCAACCCCAAAGCACCAGAGAGTACTGGTTAAGCCTGGATGACAAGCTCAGAGGGGAATTCATTAGATAGTGTTTAAAAAGAGGCCCAAGAGTCACTGCACACAGTCCACCAAAAGCCTTTTCTCCATCCCTTTTCAACACGGCCTAGCTATTATAAAGATAAATCTTGTCTGCAAGATGTCCTTTTGAGACTGCTTATTTTAACCACATCCCTCAACCCTTCCTTAGTTTCATTTCAACATCATTTCATGACAAAAATATTGGGAGAGTGACAGGGAGGGGGAATTTAAAGTGACAATGCCACTCCATCGTCTTATGGTTGATACGAATTTTAAAAAGTCAATTTGGGATAAGATACTCTTCAGCAATTCCTAACTAAATATTTCAGGTTTGCGACATGCATGTTCTAGTCACAAATAATGGCTCAAATCTTTCAAACTACACTCTCCCTCTCATTTAAATAACTATTTAATCATGACTTTTTTTTTTATTTGGAGTCTCACTCCATCACCCAGGCCAGAGTGCAGTGGCACACTCATGGCCACCCCAGGGTTGACCTACTGGGCTTAGGCATCCTTCCACTTCAGCCTTCCAAGTAGTCAGAACTACAGGCACACACTACCGTGCCCGGCTAAGTTTTTCATTTATTGTAGAGACGAGGTCTCATCAAGTTGCCCAGGCTGGTCTTGAACCCCTGGGCTCAGGCAATCCTCTCCCCTGGTCTCCCAAAGTGCTGGGATTACAGGCTTGAGCCACCGTGCCCAGCTAATCATGGCTCTTCTCAAGCATATTGAAACTCAAGACAAAGCTTACAAACACGAAAAATTGATGTTTAAATCCACCACCCCTGCCCAATGTTATGACATTTCCTAAGTGTTATAATTAAGAAGTGACATTGGCATATTGTAATAAGCACAGAAATCAAATGATGTTAAATTGATAATATTTCAAGAGACCAGTGACCCTCAATGGAAAACAGGAAAATGTCTCTGAAACCCATTCACGTCTTTTGCTATGGTTTGCATATTTGTCCTCTCCATAACTCATGCAGAAACGCATAGCCAATGTGGCAGTTTTGAGAGGTGGAGCCTTTAACAGGTGATTGGGTCATGAGCACTTTGCCCTCATGAATGGATTTATTAACTCATTAATGGGTTAATGGGTCATCATGGAAGTGGGCCTGGTGGCTTTATAAAAAGAGAAAGAGAGACCTGAATTAGAACCTCAGCTTCCTCATCATGTGATGCCCTAAGCCAAGTTGGTACTCTGCAGAGGGTCCCCTCCAGTAAGAAGGCCCCTACTAGATACAGCTACTTGACCTTGGACTTCTCAGCCTCCATAACTGTATGAAATAAATTATTCTTCTGGATAAATTATACAGTTCCCAGTATTCTAAGCAACAGAAAGCAAACTAAGACACTCTTCTAGCTCTTTTCTTTGCATTCATGCAAGACAGTCTGGTTAGTGTGTGTTCATCTCTTTCAATCTACTCCATGTTAGACAGTGGTGACATTTTCATTGTATCAGTTCTCAGTTGTCTAATATTACCAGCTGGTATAAAGATACCAGTTATCTTTATACCTGAGTATGCAGCACAGTGTTAAGCAGCTCTGAAGATTGTATGAATGGTATAGGGTCTTGAGTTTGCCCACATAATAGTGATGGTATTAGGTGATTTTAAAAATATGTTAGTCACTTTGGTTAATGTAAGCCAATAGCTATTTCCACTTCTCTTCTTTTCATCCCAAAGTGAATACTTGCTTTCCTGTACCCTCCTGTAGTGAGGAATGGCCATCTGACCCCATCTTCAGAAACACGATAGAAGCAGAAGTATGCTAAGTGGTTTCTAGAAAGACTTTTGCTCTCCCTTCTAAAATTTATGTATTTATTATTATTATTTTGAGTTAGGGTCTCACTATGTCACCCAGGCCCGCATTCTTGACCTTCTGGGCTCAGGTGATGTTTCCAATTCAGCTTCCCAAGTAGCTAAGACTACAGGTGTGCATCACCACAATCAACTAATTTTGTGTGTGTGTGTGTGTGTGTGTGTGTGCGCGTGTGTGTGTTGTGTTTTTGTTTTTGTTTTTGTTTTTGTTTGGAAAGATGAGGTCTCACTATGTTGTCCAGGCTGGTCTCAAACTCCTGGGCTCAAGCAATCCCTTAGCCTCAGCCTTCCAAAGGGCTGGGATTATGGACATGAGCTGAAACAACCAGCTTGCTCTCCTTTTAAAAGCCAAGACAGGCTTGGCCCTACCTTCCTCTGTTCATGTGTCTGCCTTGAACACAAGCACGGTATGTTGATCTTTGGGTGTCATTTGATCCATGAAGGAAAAGTTAAAGAGAATCACATAAAACTGCTCTAAGTATTCTTGAATTACTTAAACTAAACCAGAAGTCACTCACTCCCAGTTTATTATGGAACAAAACTTAAAATTAATCCTTGCTTAAGGCATTATAATTGGTTTTGATTTTACTTGTAACCAACACTGTTTCTAATGGTTGTAGAGAGGTAAAGCATGATGCCAGAAAGCACCAGAAGCATACCTTACTTTCATCACTGGGCATCAACAAAAGTGTTTCTAGAAGCCACTTAGCATCATTATGAAGAGTGATATTTAAGTTTTACCTTGCCGGGAGTGATCAATGTGAGTTTGCAGAAAGGAAGGAAGACACTGCAGACAGGAGCAACCTTCAAAGCAAAAAGATAAAAGAAGGGACAAGACATATGTCTATGGAATATAATAACTAGTGTCATTAGACTGAAGCACAGGAAGAGACAATGTTGGCCAGTGAAAGAAGTGATTGTGTGTCAGGGTGAAGGCCATGTTTAGTGTGATACATATATCATTTGGAGTCATTATTGGCTTATCTGGAGAATCAATTGTTTATTTGGTGACAGCCAGCTCTGGATACTAAAACTGGCTCAACTTCCCCACAGAATTAATGGCTACAGTTTTTTGAGTAAACATAGAAACTGACCCTTATGGTCTTAAAACTTGAAACTTAGATTTGTCTAATCTGAGTTCCTTTATCAGGAAATAGACCCTCAAGCCTAGAGTAGCAAGGGACAGAAACTGAAACAGATCACTGCAACCAATGAGATGCCAGACCCCTCCTGTTTGCCAACTCCTCTTCCTTTCCCCTCTCTACTTTGTGCTCATCAACTCTCCTTCCTTAACACTCCCTAATTCCTGTTTGCCAACTCCTTTTTCTCAGCCCTCTTTCCTCATCCCTAATTCCTAATTTTCTGCATTCTTACCCCACTATGCAATCCCCTTACAGCAGGGGAGACAGATCTGAGACAATATCCTCTTCTCCTTGGCTGATGTTACCCAAATACAAAGCCTTCTTCCCTAGCAATACTTGT